AATCGAATGATACATCAAGTGCTTCTTCCAATTAAACCTATGCGTCCACAAGAGCAAGTTTGAAAACACTCCGTTTTTTACTTTTAGAATAGATGATTGAACAACCTGTTTCTCTTGGCTTTCTATCCATTTGACAGTAGAGTAATGGCGGCTGTGTCAAATAACTTTTGAAGACAAGGTGCTGAAGTTCTGTGGCTTTCTGCATCTCATAGAGAAAAGTTTACTAGGTATTTTCATATTTTCGATGATAAAAGTATCGATTGGTAAGTGGTATTCTTTTATGCGTCTAATAAACTTCCAGTGGAACTTCCTGTACCCGAGATCTTGGGAACAGAAATATCACAAGCTCTTGGGAAAAACACCAAGAAGTCAAGATCTTGGATTCTTGAATCTTTCACCCAAGATCTTGGGAACAGAAATTTCAAGATCTTGAGTGAAGCCACGCAAGATATTGCAAGAGCTTGAGTGATAAATTTTCTTTACATTTTGTTTTTATTCATGACAGTCGTAGCCATTGGATACACGATCATATGTAAACCTTCCAAGCTTCCAGGAAACTTTGTCCAACACTGGAGAAGTTTGTCGTACTGTGTTCCAACGGTTGTTACTAGCATTGACATTTTGGCACGAGTAATTGTTATACTCGTACAGGTAGTTGATCGATTTTCATCTCTAATACTAAAATAACAAGAATCAGAGGGTATTTTTGCATTACTGCATAACCATGTAGCTTACCCATCAAATGCTTTGATAATTAATGCAGCTGCGGCAGCACTTTTTGCATTTTCATTACCAAATAGTCCATATCTTTGCAATATGTTATCTGCTTCATCATATATCAATATTTTATTTTGTGATGCTAAATGTTTTCTAAGTCCTAACAACGATAAATCTGATATGACAGAAGATGTTTCTTGCTCTTGTAGTCCGATTCTGACTGGCTTTAAATAAAAATCTGAGAAGATGTTTTCAATTTTTACAATTGCTTCTTTAATCACACGAATAATATTTGATTTGCCAGTACCTACAATTAGACAATATACTAATAAAACATGCGAGCTCTATTGAATGATTTTTTCTACCCGATCGACCGATGATAACCGAATATAAATTAATGCATTTTTCTTCGGAGTCAGAATTATAATGTAAAAAGAAACTATTACCACAAAGATGACCAATCATTGTAAGAAAACCGAAAAATGATCCGACTTCCGGAACATTTGCTCCTTCTTGATATTTTCTGAAAATTTCATGTTGTTCTGGTGTTAAAATTTTTGATAAATCCAACTTTAGACTAGCAGCGGCTTTTATATTATCACTGAAAGTGTAACTGAGATCAGAAAACTTGGCCATGATAACACTAATAACTAACAATCTAAAACAAAAGAATAAAGGTGAAGGAGGAACAAAAGGAAGGATGGAAAAATCATTCAATAGAGCTCGCATGTTTTATTAGTATATTGTCTAATTGTAGGTACTGG